TCTCTTTCCCTTTTAGCATAGCATTTTCTATTCCACTTGAATAGTCAACTACTTTTGGTGGTCTTGTCGATCAATTCCAAACCTTTCTTGGCGGCACCCATGTGTCCTCATCACCTACCCCATAACGCAACTACTCAACCACATTTCTCATTTATGTTCATACTTCTAGTTATACCCATAATTAAGTACATAATTCAAACATATATTTGGAGACACTAACAATAAAGAATGCACTATTGTAGATTTTCCCCCCTTCATTATACTTCTTGTATCATTGTTTTATCTATGCGAAGTTTTGATGCCCTAGTTTTAATTGTTAATATTTAATTCTCATGATTTTTAATTATCAAACTTGTTTTTTTTTTATATTCAATTTTGTCTTAACATTAAAATGATACAAGTTAGAACAATACTTCATTAAGAATTTCTTTAGCTAAAGTTAAAGTTTTAACTTTTGTTATCAATAGTAAAATTTACAATAATAACAATAATGTTGGTATCTATAACAATATTACATATTGCCTTAATTTTTACAATTAGGTTGATTTGTTTGAATAATCTATGTTGAATTAATTTATTCCATAAATTATGATTATGAATTTCAATTTTATTAGAAAACAACACAAAAAATAAATAAAAGTTTTGATACTATTTTATACTATTACCCTATTAGTACATATTCCTTTATTTTATTTTTTTCTTTAATTTTTAATCCACATAAATCAATCTCGTATCACACTTTTTTTTAATTTTATTTTCATTAATTAATATACAAATTTCGAGATAAAAAAATAAATTTAATAATTGAAAATTTATGAAAATTAATTGAACACTTAAAATAACATAGATTAAAATCATGCTTGGAATATGGAATGAGATTTAAAAGTATAAATAAATTAATATTGTATTTTATGTACAACATTAGTTTTTTTTTATTATCATTTTTAATGATATTTTTTTCTCACGTATAACATAAAATAATTAAGTAGACTTTAAAGTATTTACATATCAAAAAAGTAAAAGTACGAAAATATGGAATAAAATACATATTATTTTAAGTTCGAATTTTATTGTAATTGCTATAATTTTTGTTGACAAAAGTTTAAACTTTTAGAAATAAATCGTCGTTTGTGTAGAATTGAATAAATTAAAAAACGTAATTTTTCTAAATAAGATTTTAAATTAGAGTATCGTACACGGAAAAAAAACTTATTCGAAAAAACACTACATTAAAAATAATTAATTTTATCGCAATCGACTTAAATTAATAATCAACAAAATTAATAAATAATCTGTACTATTAATATAATCAAAAAGTCTAAACAGTTTTTAAAATTATTAGTTACTAGTAATTGATTTTTGTAATTGAATAAGTTAATCGATTGCGAACAAAACTGTCTTCCATCAATATTATTATTATCGGTGAATCATTGGATTTTGTTGCCCCTCGTTTGCCACATGTTCACATCCCATCGCATTAAAATAAACATTACATCAGTTTGGTACGTGGAATCGACCAACGCCCGCCTCGTGTCTCCTTTTTTTCATTATTTATTTTTCATAATTTTTCGGTCCAAAACTTCTAAATTTCTTAATTCAACAGATAGAAAAAATGACAGTTTAATTTTCATGTATAATTAATAAATATATTAAAAAAAATTATGTAATTAAATAATTAAGAAAGAGAACACTTAGAAGTTAGTCACGTTTTTTCTTTAATTCACGTGAACAATTTTTCAATGATAAAATTGTAATAAACATTTTCAATGATTATAACTCATTTTATTGTAATATGTTAAAATAAAAAATTAAGAATAAGGCTTGGAGAAGTGATTTAAAAAGAATATTCTAATTTATTGAATGAATATGTGTTGAATATGGTATTTACTAAAATAAGTGCGTGCATATACTAAATTGTAGTGAAAGTGAAAAAAGAAAAGGCTTCCTTGATTCCGACGAGGGTATTATTATTATTATTATTATTATTATTATTAAATTTTATTATAATAAATATCAGAAACGCAGAGAGCGTGTGGTTTTCTCCGAAGCTTTGTTGGCGGCAAAGCAAATCTGCATTGCGATGGCGCCTCCGAAGCTCTTCGTCTTGGCGCTTTCAGTAACCCTAATTCTGGCCCTCGCCGGTGCCGAAGCCGATGTTTCCATCGAAGGAAGAACCAAAGAGCCTGATGCCTCCGCTTTCAAGATCCAATTAGATCAACTCTATTCTAAGATCCAAAGTCTCGGTCTGTTTTCATTTTCTACACCAACTCGATTCTTTCCTTTTATATATTTCAATTTTCCAAGTTACACTGTTCAGTTACAAATACGATTTTATTTTATTTTATTTCTCTGGAACTTTTTTGTTTGTGTGTAAACTAGGACCGTGTACGGTTATGCTCGTGAATCGTTGTGTTGTCGTGTTTGCAACTTTTCAATTAGTGCAGTCACTCAGCAGAAAGCGTTGTGTTTTAAAAGCATTTTCTGGAGTTTTATTATGTTGTTGATTGATTTCTACACAAGTCGGTTTCTTGCGTAGTGGCTAATGGTTTATGATTGGAGTTATCATTCGAATTCCAAGGAGTTATAATTCCCTCACTTTTATTTTTTTCATCGGACATGTGGTGGTTTCTTCTGATGGTTTCGTTTTCATAGCTAATACACATCGTGCCTAATTTTATTTTGAAGAATCTCAAATCAGTGAAAAGTCTGAGGAAGTGAAGAACAAGGACGAAATTGTAGCAGAAAAAGAAAAAATCATTGAAGAGAGATCGTTAACCATAAAATCCTTGCAGAATGAAATTGCTTCTCTCCAGGTGTGGGACCAGACCTGGCTTACAGTTTTTCTTCATTTTTCTTCTTATTTTTGAATATTGGTTTTTGTATTTCTTTACATAAGAATAATTTGAGTAACAGTGGTAAATGGTAATATCTTATTCTCAGACTTTGTTGTTTTTAGAGCATCCATCCCGAAACACTTAACAGAGTCGGAATCAAATACTCAGTATCATTTGCTATTTTGTTTTTTTTTTTTTTGTTTTTGTTTATATATATATATATATATATAAATTGTTTTTCCTCTCAGAAAATTATTATTTTTTTCCTCTCAGAAAAAAGGGTCGTTGGATGCCGAGGAGCAGGTTGGAAAGGCTCATGCACGTGCTGGTGAACTACAGAAGCAGGTTATGTATGAATGAGCTAGTAGATGATGTATGATCATTATTCCTTAGTGCATACTCTGATATTCTTTATGCAGGTGGACAAGCTTCAAAGGGAACTAGAGACACAAAACAAGGAGAAAGTGAACTGGGAAACTCGAGTACTTCAGTCAGAGAAAAAGATTCATGACTTGAACTCAAAATTAGAAGATGTAAGTTTAGGTTTGGCTACATTTTTTCTCTCTTTCAAATCTGCATTAATTACCTCTCAAGTTTGTTGTCTTCGGAACCAGTTCTTATTCATTATTTACTGTTGATTTTTGTATAAATGTTCTTGTTAAAGCCGTGTATCTTAATTTACTCATTTGAAAAACATTTATGCTTGAGTTATATTCCGTTTTCAATTACCTTCTTCTTGTTAACGTGCCCAGTAATAAAATTGATCTGTTATAGGATTACCCTGTGCAACTTGTCATGTTCAATGCTCACAATGGGAAGGGCATCTTACTCTTTGCTTTCTCCATACCTACTTTTTTTCTTTTCATATGTTATTCTCTTTTCCCCTCCTTCCTTGGTGCTGTGATTGTAGCTGGATTTCTAGTTGTGATCAACATGCTCAGAAGAAAATTCTTTGCTAATTATTTTTCATGCATACTACTGTCTACTTTTCCCTTCCACTAGGACTTGATACATGTTGTATTGAATCCTCAAATTAATTAAAAACCAAAGTGTTATAATTTTCCAGAAGTAGTTACCTGTAGGACTGTAATCAATTTAAATTTTGAGTTATCGAAACACAATCTCTTTAATGATCATGTGGTGATTTGAGAAGTACCTTCTTCACAGATTCAAAAGATAAATGAGGAACAGAAGGCAAAAATTCGTAAAACTGAACGTGCTCTTAAAGTGGCTGAGGTTAGTGCATAGATTTTATTGTCTATGTTGTACAGGATGCTTGATGATGTTTTTGATGGAAGTCTCTTGCTTTTCACCTAATATTCTTGTTTAGGAAGAAATGGTGAATGCAAAGTTTGAGGCAGCTGCCATAGAAAAACAGCTGAGGGAGGTAATAATTGACCAATTCATTTGACTAGCTGAACCATGTTATATTTCTTACATGTCTGTAAAATTTGATAGCCAGTTGAAAGCCTCCAAAGTAGTCGAGGTTAATTATTGTTGAGATTTGATCTTGATTTACCCTGATTTCCATAAGATCTACCGTTATTATTATTATTATTATTCCATATTTCTGTTTTTACTATTCTTGATAAGTTACCATTTATTGTATTTAATGCCTTATTGTATAATCCCTAAAATCAAGGGATCCTATTGTTATTGTAATTTTTTTTTCTTTTGATAATTATAATTAAAGGACTGAGGAATCATTCTCCTCAAGCATTCAGATTCATATAAAAATTCAAGTTGGTATCAATACTGTGTCTTCTATTTGAAACTGAAGAATTTCTTTCAATTGTGTCGTTTTATTTTATACATACTTCATCTAGATGGCTAAGGTTTTAGGGTTGTTCTTGAAAATGTTAGCATCTTAACAATAAAAGCAGGAAAATAAATCATTACTGATGGGATGTCAGTGCTTCCTCTGCTTTTAGGCCTGGTTTTTTGTGATAAACAATGTGGCACTGACCAGGGTTCTCAAAAATGCCTTATTTTTCCAAAATCCGCTGGAGGGTCAAGTAAAAGTGAACTGTAAAAGTATAGATGTGATGTCACATACTATATAAAACACTATATTAAAAGAGTGGTCATATATGTACATATAAATAATGGTTTCTTATGTATAAATTCCAATTTAAATTTAAGTACTAACTGAACATAAGGTCATAACTTATATTTCATAAAATAGAAAAACTAAAATGTTATATAATTATCCTTTATTTGGTTTTTTGAGTGTGGGTAGTCTGGATAGGGCTACTATCACCAGCAATACTTGACAGTGCTTAATTTTATTGAAAACACTGCAAACAACAGACCATAGAAACCTCAAACCACCATGGAACCCTGTAACTCAAATGATTATGTGACTTGATCATAGAAAGCTTAGCTTTAACATGTTCGAGTCAGACAGACACTTGCAGACAGCCAGGGTGAGACGAACTTGTGGATTTTGATGTTCCTGACAAATGCCAAACTGCTTTGAGCCTTGCTTAAATCTAGTTTAATATCCATAACCTAGAACACCCTTCCCTGCCCAAATACCCTTTAAATATGAAAATGAAAAATCTTTAGTTGAAATCGAGTTTTCACAATTCTAATTTTTTGAAATGCATTCTGAAATGATTTTAGTATTTTACTATATTTATTTTTTGTCATATCTACCATTTTTTTTTTACTATTTTTAAATTGTAGGATTTTAGCCTTTCCATTTTGGTTTTGAAAGCTGCAGCTTCCCATTTATACAATTAATGATATATTTGAAAAGCCATTTCATTCTGTTTTGAAATTTTGATTATAATAATAGTTATAATTGTGTGTACTGAATTGATCCATATTGGTGTTAATAATCAGACCCATGGTGCTTGGCTTCCACCTTGGCTTGCTGTACACTATATTCACAGTAAGGTGAGTCTATGTTGCATCTCCTCTAATGTTTGTTAGAACAGCCTTCCTCACAAGTTCTGACTTCTGAGTATTTTATTTTATTTGTCAGTCCTATCTTGAGGCTCATTGGAACAAACATGGGAAACCTGCCTTTGAAACCTTTACTCAAAAGGTAATGTTTTGGTGTTTATTTTGACTATCAATCATTCTTATCTGCTATTAAAGTTGACATGTTAATTAATTATGAAAGGTTTATTTTATTTCTTTATCACCACTATCAAGTCATGTTGGGTTCTTCATTTCAATGTCTTTCCTATTTATTCTAGGCCCTAGAGAAAAAGGCACAAGCTGGAAAGTGGGCCGAGCCTCATGTGGAAACCATTAAAACTGTAAGGCCTCCATTTATATCTTTCAGTATTTTGCTATGCTTTGCTGTGGATAGTTCTGTTTATGTGGTAATGTAATGATGACCAAAAGGATTACTGCAATTACTGTGTCCTATGGCTAGGTATTGGACTTGCTTCACCATCTATCTGTTTTACCCTAGATTTGGTATCTATTTGGGAGTTTCCTTGTTTGTAAGAAGCTCTGAATTTTCTTAGATAACCTAGCCAAATTAAATTGTTTTCTTTTTCTTTCTCATTCTCTCTCTCTTCTCTCTTTTTCAATTGAAGAAATGGATCCCGACTGTAAAAGAACACTGGTCTGTTGTGAAAACAAATGCTGAACCTCATGTGCAATTGGTGACCACGAAAACAGTTGAAGTTTACAAGGCATCAAAGAATGCTATTGCTCCCCACTTAAGCAAGGCAAAAGAATTTGTAGATCCTTATTATCAGGTATAAATCTCTTAAATTCATCCTTTATGGTTTGTTTGTTTGTTGATGCATTTTTTAAGGTATTCAGTGCTGGTTGACAGGGAGCTAGAAAGTTCAGCAAGCCATACATTGATCAGGTTGCTATTGCAGCTAAACCTCATGTTGACAAGGTACAAGCGGTTTTGAAGCCCTACACAAAGGTGGTTGTTCATGCTTATGGGAAGTTTTTGGAATCAGCTACTACATATCATCGCCAGGTTTCAGTCTTCATCTTTTGCAAAGACATTGAAAAAATTATGCAAATCTTTATTGTATATGTTGATATTTATTGCTGATGTCAACACTATGATTGTTTTTTACCATGTATTCCTGTTGCACTGTATCTACTTAATAGAAAATTGAAAATATAAAATTCGGCCAGCATCTTTGTCTTTTGAAATTTTATAGTTGCCCATTTCTGCAATCAGTCTTAGTTAAACAAAAGAAAATTTGTGAAATGCTTTTGTTTTTGTCATTATTTGTTGCTGATGTCAACTATTTTATGGTTTTTACTTGTATTCCTGTTGCACTGTAACTTCTTATCATAAGATTTAGTATATAAACTATGGTTGGCAGTCTGTTTGTCTTTTGATATTTGTAGTTGCCCATTACTGCTATCAGTCTTGGTTGTTATAAAAGAATGAAATACAGTGAAAGCCAACTTGATGTTGTTGCAGCACCATATTTAAGTATTTATTTTATTTTAGGGGGCTGTATGAGTGTCTGCTGGTTATATGATATTTTCTTCTTGACTATTACATGCTATGACTGCTTACTTTAGTTTGGAGATCATAACATAATTTGAGCATAGTAGTGAATTTGCTGAAGGCAGATGTGGTTCTAAGTGTTAATGTTCCTTTTCATTTATTGTCGGTTGATATGTAGAACTAGGATTTTATTTTCTTGACTGCATATTGATAGAGTTTCACTCAGATTTAGAATCTGGAATAACATTTTTGCCTTTATTGCTATTACAATAGTAAAGACATCTGTTAACTTTTTTAATTATTGTTTAATCATTGAATGCTGAAAATTTGGCCTGGTATTGATATAAGGATACATTATCTTTTTTTGTTACTTGAGTATTGATTTTTTCCCTCATTAAGGTCCAAGCTACTGTCCAAGAGACTCTGAAAAAGCACGACCTTACTAGACCTCTTGCTACTAAAGAGTTGGAATGGTTTGCGGTATGTAATGGATGATTTTATCTGTCTTGATTAATATTACTGAAATTCACTCACTGATCAGATTATTTGACAGATATTGTCAATTTGCACTCTTGCAGGCCTCTGCCCTTTTAGCTTTACCAATTATTTTTGTGGCTAGAGTGTTTTCAGCTGTTTTCTGGTGAGTCTTAGTTGTCTTATTCAAAAATCCATATGCTGAATCACTTTTTGTTGATTTGTATGTTCTCTTGATATAGGCTTAAATATGTTTAGTCCCTAAAAAATAAGTAGATTTTGATTTTGGACTTTGTTAAACCTTTTCTTTACTTTTCATCATTCTTAAATTTACAAGCAGTTTTTGGTCTTTGTAAAATTAGCAAATTTCTGTTTGGTCGCCATCTAATATTTTTATTTGATTTTTATCCCTCAAAACTTTGAAATCACTATTTTTGATCCCCAACATTTATTTTAAGCTAAATAAATAACATTTATTTTCTAGATTTTGAAATTTTTTAGAGGTATGACATGCTAGCAGACTAGTGAGTGTCACTAGGGATGGTGATGGTCACTTAATATCCCGGTTTAACACAAACAATTAACAAGGATCACATAATAGCAGGGATAAAAAATAATGATTTCAACATTGAGGGATGAAAATCAAATAATTTTTTTTACAAGGACTAAACATATTTAAGCCTACATATATTTTTGGAACTTATAATAGTAACAAACACTTTTATTTTCTGCAGCAGCAAAAAAGTGAATAAACCTGCTCGACATGGACACAGTCACCATGCACGACGTAAAGCTAAGCGAGGGCATCCAGACAAAGACAAGCAAACAGCATGAAGTTCGTTCCTGATTATTTTTTCCTGGAAAGAAATTTAGGTATGATGTTTTATTATTGGTTTGATTCAGGATGTTTTTATTACTGTGATTGTAATGACTGTAGCCCATTTTCATCTTATATTTTTTTTTGTGACATGTATGATTCAAAGCGTGCTTTGATATCTTTACCATAAGCTGTGTTATCATGCTGGTGTGGCACAATTTGCTTTGTGAATATCAATGAAAAACATTCACAATACTCTTTGACACATTATTATTGGGTAAAATTCATGTGGGTTATACTAAATAATATGAGTCAGTCCTTATTTAAGAGGTCCCACATGACTTTCACCTAAAAATAAGAAGTCTTAGGACAATGTGTGTGATTCTTAGTTGTGTATATGGTAAAGTTTTTGTTGGGAAAGTTAAAACCTACTTCTATGATCTCTACTTCAAAAGGGATAGTCTCCAGATTTTGGTTGAGGGTAAAACAAAGCATGTTAAATGGGTATGTTGCCATTTCTCAATTTTTGTGTCCTGAACTTCGTAGTCATCTTGGATTTTCAATTGGGGGGGCTAATTTGATTTACTTCCAAATTAGAGATCTAAAGGGGAAATAATTTTGTGTGTTGAACTAAACATCGTTGGAATACTTTGTTCGATCTTTTAAATACCCAAACCACCTTGTTGTGAAATGATATTTTTCTCAGAGGATAACATTGTATCTCTAATTTAAATTATAAGATAAGAAGCTTCAATGCCCGTGCAATCTTTAATTATATTTGAGGATTACATTTTATTAGCCTTATTATTTGCTAGGGTTAATATTCCTCCTGGATCAAATAGTGTGGTCAATAGAAAAATAACTGTCACATCACTGGCATATAATTCAAAATTACAAATGTTTTTGAAGGTGAGTGCAAGACATTAAGTGCCATAGCATGTGTAATTCAATGTAGTTATTTAGTTAATTTTCCCTGGGTTTTGTCAATGTGATTTCATTTGGAAATGTAAAACCAATATTTGTATGACTATGATAATTTTGTTTTGCATTTGGAGATACATCACTGTAGAATAAAATATTTTTTCTGGGTGTGTTATAGAGGAGATCTATGAGCAAGTGTAGGGAGAGGGAGGGTAGGATAAAATGGGGGAAAAGTGCGGTTTTGATCCCAGGATCAAGCAGTCTCCGAAAGGGACTTGGTGCTCATTGAGTTAAGGCTCTTTTGCTAAACTAATTTTTTTATTATCTTAATTTAAGCTCAACAAGTAAAGAGCATGGAGAGTCTTGGAATTTAGAGGATACTTTGTATGCTCAAATCTATTTGAATTTGATATGACGAGAAGAGTGAGGGTCATAAAAAAACAAGAGAAGTGGAATTCACTTGGTTACATTGTCTGAGCATCTTATTGGTTTAAAATCGCTTTTAGTTGATTGAAATGCGTTATACTGCTTTGGGGTGTTCACAAGTCTTCTCAAATTCTATATGTAGTGAGACGACTGGACATATGAATTGTGGTACTGCTAGACATATATCTATCATAAATGGAGGCATGAAATTATGTTTCAATGCAGCATTTCTTATTTCATTAGAATGCTAATTGTTTATTGCGCAGTTGAGTTTCTTTTACATCATTTTGTTTTTCACTAACCATATTAAAATATAATGCTGAAAACATATCGTTTCTGTTTATTGCAGATAATTTTTTCTGTTTGCATGGGCTTATTGAGGACTATATATTTCCTGTCGTGTGGGGTTTTGAACATTTTGCTTCTCTTTTTCTGGGTGAGGTAACTTAGGATATTTCACTGTAGAGTTGGGCACACAGTATGGTTAGGTGTTGATGTATTATGACTGTGTTATATTTGTTATTAGACCTTGCACTCCCTTTTTTGCCGGTTTTATTTTCTTATATTCTTGACATAGTAAAAATGTTTCCACTTGATGTATGTTTATTAGAATCAGAATCTGCTTATTGCGGTTGTCTGTGGAACTTGACATTTATTACTAAAAGAAACTAATTCATGGGTGGTTCTTCATTTTTTTTTCCTTCCTTTTCTGTTTTAAGTTTCTTGAATTATCCTTCAAATTTTTTAAAACAATTCTGTTTGTAATATCATATTACGGACACCAACTTAGTAAACTAATTGACTTATTGTTACGCGAGAGATTTATCATCTTTCCTGATTTACAGGTGTTTTAGAAGAAAAAAAAATATAAATTGACGACTGGTTTAGTTTTGTTTGTTTATTTTGTGGTTTGATTTAGTAGGAGGAAAGGAAGATAAGTATGATTCATTCACGAATTATGGTTTGATTTTAAGAGACAAGGGAAGATCAGTATGGTTTGAATGAACACAGTTAAAATATATACATGGATTTCTTTTGTTAGACTAACGGTAAAAATATTTCTTTGGTTGTTAATGGTATGTAAATCATGTTTTTCTTTTTCATATTATAATGTAGGTATTTCAGTAGCTACAAAGTAATTTACTAAAATATGTTTACATAAAGGGTAGAGTGGTTTAGGTTGCTTTAATGGATGTAATATTGGTGGACTCAAGTGGAACTGAAAAACTATGAACTTTGAAAGTGAGTTGAGAAGGGACTGCTTTACTTTGGTTGTTTTTCTTAGAACACTGATCATGCCTGAATATCCGTAATCTATATGATTTTATTTTCATTCATGGTTTTACAAGGTTTTATGGTGAAATATTCAAAAATTAATGTAAATAATCAGCGATGGTGTTTATCTAGAGCTTTTATTTAACTCAGTTTCGTTTTAACATCCATACAAAACTTTTTGGTTAAATACCTCTTTTGGTCCCTAATAATATTTTTTTGTTTCAATTTAGTCCTACTTTAATTTTAGGTCTCAATTTGGTTCTCAATAATTTAAATCATTGCAATTTGGGACTTCCGTTTAAATGATTTAAACGGGGTTTACTCCTGTTGACGTGGATGCTAGGTGAATGTCACGTAGATGCTAGGTGGATGTCAAATGTTATGAATATACCTAGAACCAGAACGGCCCGTTCTGCATGCATATGTTATGTGTTAATTTTGCAACTGAAACGGGCCGTTCCAAATGCAAATTTAACACAACATGAGTGCAGCAGAACGGGTCATTCTGAATCCAGAACGCGCCGTTCTGCTGTTAGAACGGGCAGTTTTGAATTCAGAACGACCCGTTCTAGAACGTCAACTTCATGTTTTTTATTGTATTTTTTTATTATATCTATATTAATAAAAATATAATAAATAAAAAATACAATAAATTAATATTTATTTATGAATAAAACTAAAAAAAAATCAAATAAGATAAGACTTTTCAAAACCCTTCTTTGATTTGAACTTATCCAGTTCAAAATCTTGACTAAAATGTCGTAATGTGATTCAAAAATTAAAAATAAAAATTCATAATATATCATAAATTCAAAGACAGAAACATGGTTTAGAAATTGAAAACAAAAATTCAGAACATAACATATACTAAAAAAGTTTAAAGAAATTATTGAGAAAGGAAATCATACGCTGAAGGGAAATCCTAAACCACAAAAATTCAGGTTATATCTCCTCAAAAACAGGTTGTTATTGTTGGGGAACATTGTCAATGACTTCAAGGGAAAACACCGTTTCGTTTCATCCTTGACTGTATAGTGTCAATTTGGTAGTAAGTGGTTCACTCCAGTTTGACTAACAATGAAATAAAACTTGTTACCATTGTCCTTAGTGATACACTGTATCGTCCTTAATGATACACTGTATAATCCAAATTTATACAAATTTTTAGCAATTGAAGTTATCAATTCCCATTAACAATATTACTAAATCTAGTGTTTGAAATGCTTTGTATTCACGAAATTTTGAAATCAGAACGGTCCGTTGTGGTTACACTGTTGGTGTATAAATGTTGCATCTGGAACGGCCCGTTCCAGGTATAAAATTTACACACCAATAATGTAACCAGAACGGACCGTTCTGGTTTCAGAATGGGTCGTTCTGGTTCTAGGTGTATTCAAGTATTTTGGGATCCACCTACGTGGCATCTACGTGGCATCCATGTGGCCACCAGTTAACTCCGTTTAAATCATTTAGACGGAAGTCCCAAATTGTAATGATTTAAATTATTGGGGACTAAATTGAGACTTAAAATTAAAGTGAGATTAAATTAAAATAAAAAAATATTATAAGCGACAAAAAGAGGGATTTAACCAAACTTTTTTTCTTATAGTAATTATCACATCCAGCGAAGGTGTTTATCAGCGAAGGTTATACTTTTTAGTAATTATTTTTGGTCTCACCGTTATGTTTTTTTATTATTAAATTTTTTTAGTAACTATTATTCTTTTTCAATAATTACTCTACTGTTTTTATTACTTATAAATATCTTTATTACTTAATTTTATTTTAATATTTTTAAAATAATATGTAGTCACGATATATAATATGCATACTCTTGCTATCTTCAAGCCTCGGCACTCGTAAGTTTAACCATTATAACTACGGATGAGGGACTTGTATTGTCCCTCTAACAGGGTTCGGTCTCAAATTGTTTTTGGGGTTTTAGTTTTAAAAATAAGATTTCATGTATTTTGATGGTTAGTTAGGTTTATGTTGTGTGATCTTAGCTCGGTCTAAATATTCTTGAATAAATATATATTATTAATAAAATTATTTAATAGATAATATTTCTTATAATGTGGTATTATAATTATAATGATTTATTTATTTTAAAATATATATTGTAAAATTTATTTTATTTTAACTCTTATTTTACCATTTAACCAAACACTATATTAAGAATGATATAATATATGATAAATAGTTTATTTGGTTTCGAAAGTGTTGAGTGAGCATATGACCCTAACAAGTATTTAAGCTGTGTAGAGACAAAAATAAACATGTTTAACGCTTAGACTTGTTTATACGACACAATATATCAATTTCAATTATTAATTTACTCCTAAAGTCTCAAAGGTGCCTTATGTCACCTTTGGTTATCATTATCATGACTTACCATCACCAGATGCCTCTCAACAAATTTACAACACTTGCGAAGCTTGTGCATTTATTTCGTCCAATTTTTTTGACTCTCATCTTCTTGAACACAACATATGATTCTTATTTAGGAGAGAAAATAGATAGAATGAATAAATTTTGATAGGATGGATTAAAAACTATCCAAACATTTATATCCATTAAAATTTGATTAAAAATTATCCATATGTAACCTATTAAAAATTCATCCAATTTATTTATTAACATTTTATCTTTGGCTTGGCTATGAGCGTGACCGAAACATAATCTTCAATTCAATTTCAGTTGGATTACACATGATTGTGTTGGAGCATCTTTGGCATCGCCTTGGCTAGAGTATCCTCGCTCTGACCTTGGTTCGAGTATATTCATCTCAACTTTGGCCGAAGAATTTTGGTTAATCATCGAATTGTCCTTGGCATTTAATTTTTGGGATTTTTATTTTTTAATTTAATTATTTGTATTTAATTTTCATAGTTTTTATATTTTTTAATTTAAGATTCTTCAAATTTTCATCCAATAATCATCATCATTAAACCATGAATATTATTGTATTTCCTTATTATGATTGCTATGATTTTAACTTTTGTTTTCACAGGTATAAAAATTTCCATGCTATTGCTTTCCTCGGTGTAACTATATTAATAATATGATACATAATATTAACACACAATGTCTTTGGAACTAAAACTACATATTATACATTATACTAATAGTATAATTAATATATTGCAAATGTAAATATATGATATTTGCAGTAATAGTTTAATTTTCATTAAAAATAGACAATTTCAATGCTTTTTTTCTCTCTCTCTTTCCATTAGAATATGGTAACTTTATAATATAATGTCTTAAAGCTGAAAATTTTAGTTGTGTAGCTAGGTACACTACAACAAAATATCTTTTTAGAAACATTAGAAAAATATTGTTAAATTATGAGTAAATTATACTAATATACTTTTATAACATTTTATCAAATGTAAATAAGACCTATGTTGTTAAAAACTTTTAATAATATTTTAAATATTAATAAAAACAGTTTTAAAAATATTATCAAAGAGATATTTTGTAACATTTTAATAATGTTAAATTTTTGTAAACTTTATAAAATGATAATTAGATTGTATCACTGCTTATAATTTATAACTTTTGTCTATAAATTATTTAAGATATCCAATTTTTTTTAATAAGAGAAGATATCTTAAGTTAGTCACCATTAAATTTAAATTACATATTAAAATTTTATTTATCTTAAGTTTCACTCTACGATTATATATACTTTTGAGAAATAATTAGAGATAAGAGAAATATACTTCTTATATATTACCTTTTTTTTTATTCAATGTGAAGTTTAATTTTAAAAGATAATTATAAAGAATAATATTAAGATAAAAAATTATTATTCTATCTATAACATTTTAATAAATATAAATAGATAAATGTTATTAAAGATGTTAAATATAGTAAAAAAAAATATTAAAAGTAATGCATAATTGACCGCTGTTACTAATATTTGAAACAGCGATGTAAAAATTATACGTTAACCTATATAGGAATTTTATAAGAACAGTGAGTGGGTGTGTGTATAATTGCAAAATATTAAAAGGAAACTATTCCGAGGGCATTCGTAATATAAATAACTGGTTGCTATAGTGGCTGAAATGTACAGAATACCTCAAGGAGAATAAAAAAGGACAATATATATAATAATATTATAAAGTTTTTTTTTTTTTTTTGCATTTCCATACTAAAATGAAAAAAAAAATGTATAATACATGCAGTTTAGTATTAGATCCGACTTGTTGGTAAAACTTTTTAACATATTGAAATTAAACTATTAGTATAAATAATCAAAAGCCCACATCCTATCGATGTTAATTAGAAGGTTCCAATTAAGATAAAGAAAATCAATGAAACTCAGTAGTATAGAAATAATCAGGGACAAGGTATGCAATTATAACTTATCATATAGTGGCATTCAATATAAAGAAAAGACAGTAGAGTAATCGACAAACAAACATTCAAAAAGTTACTTGATTGGAAAGGGTACACTGTCACTAGGATACTGGTGGATATGGTCATTTTCCCGCATGAAACTTTGGAAACACTAGAAAAAGTAGAACTTCAATTTTATGGCAACTGAACCAACTAAAGTTATATAGTACTAGATTGTGCACTTGTGCCTAATAATAAAACTACTTGAAGGTCTCATATATAATTTAGTAGGAAGGCCAATAGTTGTCTAGATCCATGCAATGTTCCATGCCCATAAACCTATTGCCATGAGAATTGATGTTGCTCATTTCTGATCCATAACCAGCTGCTACATTCTCAGCACCAAGAGAAGTGGATGTGATCATGCTTGAATTGACATCAAGTGGTTGAGCCATTGTATGAACAGGAGGAGGCGAAAGTGGCAAAATGGGTTGTGTTGTGGCTATGGCTCCTCCAAGATTCAAATTGAGACCTGAAATGGTGAATCCTCCTCCCGCTGCTGATGCTGCTGCTGCTGATAAAGTAGGGTAGCTTAAGTGGGGTTGCATTGGTACGTTGACACTACTTGTTGCTCCACCTCCTCTCAAAACCCTAGCAAGTTCAGCTAACTCTACAGTGGTGCTCATGTGATTATGATTGCGTCCATAAAGGAAATGAGCAGCAGGATCTCCAAGTTGCATCATTTGTGGTGCCATAAAATTATTTGGTCCTATTTCCAAGCTGTAAGGATTCACTGATCTTGCATGGTTGGAAGAAGGGTACTTCTTTGCACCACCACTCTTCTTGAATACCCTGCAAACCACCCATTCATCCTGCTGCATGTATCAAAGTTATGGATGTCATGTTAGTTCATTTTATTTTTATATAAAATGTTGAGTAAGAACTTACTACTCAACTCAAATGGCTACCCAAAATGCTGTTTAATTTATTGAATTTTGGGCACATATTTGATTATAACAAAAAAAAATAAAAATTAACATACACTCACTTTCTTTTTCATCTCAGTTTTATTTTCTATCTCAATTTTATATCATTTATCGGATCTATTATTATTTTTCTCTTTATTTTTTGTTCTTGGTCTCTCTTAACTTTTGACTCATACACCTCAAATTAATTTGGGGTACAAGCTTTACCATTATTATTAACATAAGATGAGGATATATTGTTCTAGGTCCCATTCCCATTTTCTTTCGTCTTTCTTATGAAAAAGTAACACCTCAGCACGAAAAACTATCAATTAGGAGAAAATAATTAAATAATATTATTTCTTAAAGACCTGTTATTTATTTATTTATTTTTAATTTGAGGAACAAGAAGGTAAGAAAAATGAAGTGATTCCAAATCTTCAATCCATTGTCCTAATTAGGCTAGTGTGGAAGAAGCAAAATATGTTAATTATATATGTACCCTGTTAGTTCTATAGGTGGATTTGGAGTGAATCCGATATTCATGCATGACCCAGTTGCTTTTCTCTCCTCTTGGAGCTCTCCCTTTGTAGAAAACTAATGTCTTCTTCATTCCAATTAACTCCGAATTTGCACTGTTCAGAATCTCCTTGTCTTTTCCTGTGGTTTTCCAATACCCCGTGTTCGTTGCTCGATTCGTTCTCACACCCGTCGGGTATTTACGATCTCTCAGACTGAAGAAGTACCATTCTTTTTCTCCCATCTTCGCCTTCCCTATTTCATGAATAAGCCAAAACATATATTGCTGTATTTGGTTAGAAACTGGAGGATATATATATCATATATACATATTCAAATAATAATATAAATATATAGCACATAAATCTTATCCATGTCACAAGAAAGACGAACGTCTACCTTAATATATGGAACAATTAGATAGATTAGTTAGCTTGTTATATATATGTATGAATATAATGGATCCGGAATAAGTGCATCAATCACTTGCCCGTAAAATGGTACCAGTATCGGATGCGTGTATTAGCAACAAACCCTAGATGTGTTTTGAAAATAGCATGAAAAGATACTAAATGAGAAACTGAAAACAATATGAAAAAAACATATAATTACGCGCTTTGTAATATGAGCATGTAACGCATGCATGAAACGAATCTGAAATAAACAGAAGATAATTAATTGGATAAAAAATGTTGATAAGAAAAGAAAGAAAGTAGTACCTGGTAGCTCCCATGGCTCACATTTGTTGAGATCTACATCGGTTATTGCTTTACCTGTAAACCCAGAATCCGATATCTTATTTAGGAGATAGCAGGTGACAAGTTCTTCATCGGTGGGATGAAATCGAAATCCTGGTGGTAGGGTTTCATCATTTCCACGTCCTTCCATTTCTATATCGGTTCCCTCCTTCATAATTGCTCCCTTTTCCTTCTGTACCACACAAAAATTGGTGTCATGATGCACATCTTAGGAAAAAGCTACACAACTTACTGAAGAAAGTTCAGTTTAGCTTTTCGTTTTCTGAATCCACTACTCAAGAAAAGGTAGCATACACTTTGGAAAAAAATCAAGTATTACAAAGACTTTGTTCTTCAAATAGAGGAATTAATAAAAAATACTTGGAAATTAGGAACTGTGAGATGAATAAGTTAAGCAGTTGCTTACTTGCATGGAGAGACAAACTAAACTCTTCTTCGATTAGGTTTTGGTGCTTTATATAAGTTATGTCGTTCACTTAGAAACGAAACAATAACTTGAGGGATACTGCAAAGTATGATATAGGAGATCAACAAGGGGAGAGAGCTTTGTAATGACGACTATAATCAGCATGCATGGAGGGTAGGGAATTAAAGAACAAAGACAAGGAAGAAAAACGGGAAAGAG